CCAGGAGGTGGATGAGAATTGTCTGGCGGATGTTTGAAGAAAACCGAAACGAGGAAGTCTCTTGGGATTGGGCTTGTTTCGGAGGCCTGGCTCTGTACTGCGTACTGTTCCAATGCTGTATGCAGCTGTTTTCCACAAACGTTTGACTTGCTGTTCGGGCCGTATTACGATTACCGGACACATGTGATATGAGCCAAGGCGGATCTAGCCGGGGGAGAAAATTATCAGGTGATCGGGGGTATTAATGTGGGACGTCTAAGTGGTTGTATTAGCATGTCGGCAGCTGAGGCATATATGGGCGGTGCGCTAGTCCGTGATAGGCAGCCTAGGGCCAACAATTAAAGAGTAAGTGAACTAAGTGTTCCAGGAATTTCTCAAGCATTTCACATTCCCTCTCTAAACATTTTTTCTTTTATATGATTCCTTCTTTTTTAATCCTTTTAATCACATGTATTTGCTGCTTTTTTTTTTTTTTTTTTTTAATTTTTCTATTTTTGTACTTTTACTACTTCTTTTTTTTAAAAAAAAAAAATTATGACGGGTTAGCACCCGTTAGTGGTTAACTTACACAACCAACCCCTTCTGCCTCACACTCCGCACTTGCATAGTGCTAACAATTCTTCCACATAACCCTCAATGTTCTTCCACTCCGTGCTCCACTGTGGAGTGGCTTCTGATATTCTTCCATCTCAATCTCTTCTTTATAAAAACCCTCTTTGTACAATCTTCCCTTCTGATCTCTTTTCTCTTTCTTTTCTTAATCAATTTATAATCTGTATTTAGAATAGTGTTAGATTGTTAATTGATGTACACTCATTATATTACAAATTGATTCATCTGTGTCAGCCTGAGTGCTCTATGTTTACAATTGCACTCAGATGCTCAAATTAAGAATAAGTTATCAAATTCTCATAAAGCTGTGTTGTTGTGATAACATTTGCAAATTCTAAAGTTTTATGAAGCTGCATCATTGTGATAATGCTGTGAAGAAGTCTGAATATTTAAGAACTTCACAATCATATATCTGTGAAGAGATCAGAGTGTTTATAAAGTATTTTTTTTTCAAAGAATAAGAACTGAATCTTCTGATCTTCAAATTATTAAAATCAAAAATTATGATTTTGTATAAAAACAAAATGAATTACGAACATCTTTTCATGAATGAGAATTGAAATCTTGTTGAAGATAACATCAAATTCCATAACTTTCTTTGGCAGCAATTCTTACAAATAGCAGAGCTTCAATAATAATTGAATCAGCTAAATACAAATACATCAGAAAATATACAAACATCAATGCTTTTTGTATATGAAAAAAAAAAAAAAAAAAACACCCCCTTCTTCTTGATAAATTTGCAGAAGAGCTCTCAATTTATCTAATCTGAAAATGAAAAATAAAAGCCAAGTTTGAAGAGAATGAGTCTGTAATAGACTCTCTGCTTTCACAAGCTCACTATATTCATAGTCAGTTAGAAGAAAATGCTTTAATGAAGTTTCAACTCTGAATTGAATCATATACACATGAAATGTGTATCTCTGAAGAAGTATTCTGTCAACTAAATGTTCTATTCTTGAATTCTACACTGCAAGTGCATGCAATGCAGTGGCTGAACAGAAATTGTCAAAGAAATACCCTTTTAGTGAATTATCTGCCTGATTTTGAAAGCAAGATTTATGAAGTAGAAGAACAGAACTGAGATGATGCTGTCAAGATCAATCTTCTGAATCAGTATATTAACTTTGAACTGCTCAAACTCTGTATCTCACATCTCATGCCCACACATTACCACAACTACTGCACCCACTTACATCAACTCGACAACAACCTCACACGCTTCAATGCTGTTCAAGGAAGATGTAGCAATCATAGACAGAACTTCATGTCTACAACTGCATCAACAACTCTCACAGATGCTATGAATTGAATCTTTTATGTGAGTACAGAACAATCAAAAATATCTGACTTCTCTGAACAAAAAATTACTGATTGAATCATCTGAGAAGTTTGCATTCATTGCAACAGACTAGAGTATTTTGCAAGTCAATGCATCAACACAGTGATTTCAGCTTCTACATCACATGTGAATATAATTACATCTACAGATAAACAGAAACAGAGAAAAGAAGAGCTCTCACTCTAAAATATAGATAAAAACTCAAGAAGCAAAAAGCTAGCTGAAGATTTGAATAGAAAATACAAGCAGACACAATCATGATCTCTGTCATTGTAAATAGCTTAATCAATATATGAGCAATGATAGACAGTGGGTTCCTTCATTACACTCTTATAAATATTCAACTGATTGAAAAGTATAAACTTCAGTGTATTCTCTTTTCTGAACTGTGTAAACTCAGTGAATTCAACAGCTTCAGAAGATCCACCTCCTACAACATGATAAGATTTAATATCAATGTAGAGGGGCATGAGAAAACGAATGTTTATGCATACAAAGTACAGAATCTCAAGTCTAATTTAATACTCAGTCTGTCATAATTTACAGAATCTGAAACCTTATTGAACACACACAATCACTGCTTTATTTTCCCAAAAGGCGACTGTGTCTATGAGAAGAATGTTGATAGAATCACTGATCTCACTCAAGTATCAGTGAAAGCATTCAAATTACTAACTCATCAAATATGCAAGAAGAAGAACATCCAAGTGTTTACTGCTAGCATAGCAGATATCAAGAAAGTGTTAGAAAAGTTAAAATTCAAGAATCTTAAGAAACTCTGCAAGAAACTCTCTGAATCATATAAAAACTTCACAAATATGTTTGATGAGAAAGCAGCTGAAAAGCTCCTCTCTCATCAAGAACACAGCATAGATCATACAATTGAACTCATCAAGAAAAATGATAAAAACCTGCAATCACCCTGAAGTTCTTTTTACAGTATGTCACGCGATGAGCTTCTCATTCTATAAAAAACACTCAATAAATTACTGAATAAAGACTTCATCTGTGTTAGCAATTCACCTGCTGCAGCACTCATATTATTCACAAAGAAATCAAGAAAAGGCTTATGATTCTGTGTCAATTACTGAAAATTTAACAAAATTACACAAAAGAACTGATATCCTCTCCCACTCATTAATGAAACATTTGAATGAATAGGAAAATGGTTCATAAAACTTGACATCTCCGCGGCCTTCTACAAGACAAGAATCAATGAGACTGATGAATGGCTAACTGCTTTTCATACACATTATGAGTTATATGAATGGACAGTGACCCTCTTTGAATTAGCAAACACTCTGAATATATTTCAGAAATATATCAACTGAGTGATATAAGACTTGCTTGATGAGATTGCTTCAGTGTATATAAATGATATTCTGATCTTTACTGATGGATTGCTTGCTGAGTATTATAAACATGTATGACAGATACTTGACCATCTATAAGAAGCAGAACTGCAAATGGATATTGACAAATGCAATTTTGAAATCAAATCTATAATATATCTAGAATTTATCATCAAAGCTGAAAGAGATGTATGCATGGATTCTAAGAAGGTGGAAGCAATTCTCAACTAAGAGACATCAGTCTCAGTAAAAAGAATTAGAAACTTTCTAGAGTTTGTCAACTTCTATTAAGGATTCATCAAGAATTTCTCAAATATTGTATGATCATTAACAGATCTGATCTGAAAAAACATTGTATTTCAATGAATTGATGAAATGAATGCAGTGTTTAAGAAGCTGAAGCACATGTTCACAAGTGCTTCAATGCTGCAATCATTCGATTCAGACAAGCATATGATTCTCAAAACAAATGCCTTAGATTATATAGTAAATGAATCATTAATACAATACAATAATGAAGGCATTCTGCAACTCTGTGCCTTCATCTTGAAAAAAATGTCACTCACTGAATGCAACTACAAAAGCTACAAGAAACTTCTAGTGATTATATAATGTCTTGAAGAATGGAAGTTCAATCTCATGAGTGTTGAGAAGTTTGAAATCATCACCGATCATAAGA